GGTAAGAACGGCGAATGTCTATTCGGCAACGTCTGCAGAAACACTATACTGTATCAAATGCACAAACAGCGACATGGAATACATAGGCACAACCCAACGTAATATCAAACTTCGAACCGACGAACACTTCAAAGACGCCATAGACCTCATGGACAACGACCAAAAATCGGACTCATTCGCAAGACACTTCGCCGACCAATTCAAAATGATGAAACCGGTAAACAAAGAGCTCCTGCGGAACAGCGTCCAAGTGAGCGTTCTATGGCAAGGTAGCCCCATCAGCTGTGTCAAAACCTTCCGGACGCGACACTGCCAACTTTGCAACAAAGAAAGACTTGAAATACTTCGACGTTCTCGAGAATCACCAGAAACAATGATCAACACACGCAACGAAATCTACGGCGCCTGCCGACACAATCCAAAGTTTCACAAATACAAATAATTTAGCCCAGCACTGATGAGTCTCACAGAGGAGATGAAAGAGTCATGCCAAAACCAAAAAGTAACCACAGAGGCCGAAGCCTGTGTTTTAGCGATTTGGCGGTTGGTGACCTGTTTCAGTAAAATTTACTTAATACAGTCACTCTTTGCTAAAATCGTATGACGTTGAAAATACCCCTCAATTTTACCAGTACAGCTCAGGCGGCTTCCTACTAGCTAGCACTAGAACATGTATGTCGCCGAATGTGCTGGGATGTGGGCACCGAGGAAGGGCGATAAAGAGCTCAACATTGTAAATAATGGGAGTAATGATTAAATTAAAACGCCGCTTGCTAACTCGCTTTCCATCCAACCTATGATGAGGGGCTGTTTTTCAGCTACAATAAGATTAACCTGGTGGCTAATGATATACATAGTGTAAGAGATCAGCTGACTAGCTTGAGCTTTGAAATGACACCAAAAGGTCTCATATTCTAGCTGCTTGGTGGAGTTCGGGGGTAAAGACCAGTCGATTCGTCCTCGGCCTCAATCTAGCTTTGGAGGAAGATTTTTGCAGCCTGCCCCTCGATACTTCCTGGGGAGACTCTTGACTGCCACGCAGGAGAAGGACACGAAGCCGCCTTCACACGCGTTCGTGAATTTTCCTCCTGCAGCATGTCGCTACAGAGCATTCATGGCTCGGGATGGTGGGTTGACGCATAGGGCCGCCAGCAACTGACGCTCAGTTGATTCGTGCAGACTTAGTCTGCTTTATGGAGCGCTCGATATATCGCTTGGAATCCGAAGAGTCGACCAGTATGCAAGTAACCCAACACCAACAAGGACCGTGTAAGCCACCCAGGAACCCCACTCAGCAGGGAACATACGCCCAGACAGACAAAAGGCCATGAGCCATCCAGTGAGAACGGGCCCCAGGGCACGTGCGAACCCAGTACCCGTGCTGTTGACTCCATTCATTGCCGCCCGATTGCTCGCGTCCACAGTACGGTTGCATCCAATGGTGGTGCCGCCCATGACAATGCTTCTAGAAATGGAAACAGTGCTGCTCACGAGGCTCAACACGAAGATCTGAGAAAAGCCATGAAAGAAGAGGGAGGCAGGGAAGAGAATCATGCTTATGCCACCAATCAGAGCTCCGTACTGCATGGAACGGACCACGCCAAACCGCTTGATTGTGGCTCTGAAGATCGTATATTGGGCCAAACAGTAGATGAGACCGGCCACAGTCCCCACCAAGCCAATTGTTTTCTCTTCCATCCCCAAACCTCCTACGATTGCCATTGCAAAGAGAGGAAGAGCTTCAGTTTGAGTTATACTCGCCAGGTGGTTGCACCAAGCAGAAATCAAGTAGGCACGCGTGTTGTCTTTGCTCAAAATCGACATGACAGAATTTCCCTGCTGCGCTGGTGCTGGCGTGTTGTTTAGTGGCGTTTTCTCATTGGCAATCTCTGGATCTTGCACGTCAGATACAGCAACTTGAGATGCCCGAGGACAGCAGCCAACAAGGCAATTGCCCAGCCACTGAACAAGATCCGAGCCTGCGTGTTTCCAGTGCCTTCTCTGCTCCAAAGGCAATGTCTCCTCCATATACAGTACTATACAGCACATGCTAAGGAGTGAAAGGAGTGTGCCAAGTAGATTGGGTAGAAGGAATGGGAACTTTGTCAAGAGTCCATCCAAAGCTCCACCCAGAATAACGAAATTGGGATATTGTGCTAGTGGTTCTGCCAAGAAACCACCGATTGCTGGACAGACCAGCATTCCGTAGCCAACCATGGATATCAACATTCCAACTCCCTTCGTCTCGAGCTCCTTATCACCTTTTGCCAGTTCTGAAATGGATGTGAATGACACTGTCATGGTGCCATTGCCAGCACCTGATACTCACGTCACAAGGGCTGCGTGAGTGGACCAAGAGAAACATTTTTACTGTGTCCCTGCCGAAGACGGACGTACCCATGAGGAACCTCACAATGATGGCCATTGTGTAGGAATTGGATAATCCAAACACTAATGAACAAATGGAGGCAATGATCAACGTAACCACCAAAACAAACTTTCGTCCATAGATATCCGCGATTCGCCCCCAAGGATATGAAGTCATGGTGCGTCCCATCATGAAGGAACCTGCCAGAACTCCCACATGGAGACCCACGCTGCCGCGGTCAAGCTCAACGCTCGATAATCAGTTAGCCAAAGCCAGTCGCTAAATTCACCCGAACACCCCTGAGCGTTTAAGGAGTACCAAGGTAGCCTAGTCTTATATGTTTAGATCTATTATCCAAGAGGGTTCCACGCTGAGGAGTGTTTGTATTTTCGCCAAAGGTATTTGTTGACGGTTTATTTGTCTCTATTCGGAAGCATTCGGAAGGCGATTATCGAAAAATTCGGAAATCGGAACCCAGAAATCATGTGACAACGGTCAAATCAATCCCAGATTGCCCGTCTTTGGAAATTTCAATTCGTGAATCCCATTCTTATACCATGTGATACAGTAGAGAGGGTGTGCGATTTTTCTAAAGAGACGTAAAACCAATACGAACCAACCGTTAACATGCAGTCCTAAGGTCCTGTCCCAACAGCCCCCCACCGATTCCCGGATTCGGTCTTTGGGAGGCCATTTCCATGAGGCCCCAAATTGGGAATCCAATTTCCATCGCCAACCAGTCTGAGGAAATCAGCCAATCGGACTCCCACCAGGCAGCCAAATGCCAATGGATCTCCAACGAAATCCAATGCAGAACCAAGTTTGCTGGGAACAGGTTGATTGTTGTTGTCATGGTGGATCCTTGGATAAAGAAAAGAACCCACTTTATTAGAGACCATGTTTCTTTGTTGTTTCCTTTTCGTTTGTGCTCTCCTCTTCTTACCTTTTTCCTGCGGCACCAGGACGCACCATCTTGAAGATGTCCAGAACTTTGCTACCGCTGCCTTCTGTTTGTTGGTTGCCGCAGATCCAGAACTGCTTGGGGACAAGAATGACGGCCGTGGAGGAGGCAAGCCTCACCGTTACAGGAAGAGGAAGTTTGTCAATGACATTTTCAACGAGCTTGGTCCTCATTATGTCAGGCGAGCTTACCGGATGGAACCTGCTTCCTTCTGGCGACTGGTGAGAATTTTGCAGCCTTACATGAAAGGTGGAAAGTCCAAAAGGAAGGCGGCACAGAAGTCGGGAGCAAAGAATGGGTTGATTCCTTTGCCAAGCAGAGTCAGCGCCGCCCTTCGCTACTTTGCTGGTGGAGCTGCATATGACATTGCTGTGGTCCATGGAATGGGGCACACTGACGTTTATCGCTCCGTCTGGAAAGTCGTGGATGCTGTCAACAAGTGTCCAAAGTTGGACTTTTCCTACCCTTCTGACCACAATGAACAACAGAAGATTGCTGACGACTTCAAAGAGCTCAGTCGCGGAGTCTTCAGTTGCTGCGGCGGAGCAGCAGATGGCATCTTGGTCTGGACAGAAAGGCCGAGTGAAGAAAGCTGTGAGAGTGCACAATGTGGTCCCAAGAAATTTTT